AAAAAAAAAAAAAAAAAAAAAAAAGAGTTGGACACTTAACCGACTGAGCCACCCAGGCGCCCCTCCCTTCTTTTTTGCCGTGGAAAATTCACCACCTGACATACTGTGTGTTTCACTTGTTTGCCTTCTATCTGCTGACTCCCCATCCAGGAGGTCAGGGACATCTTGTCTATTTTGGTCGAGGTACCTAGAACAGGGTCTGGCTTTTAATAGACACTCTGGAAATATTTTTTTGAACAATTAAAATTAGATGAAAATGTTCTATCTAGTTGGTCCAACCAGGACTTACATGGTAGTCCTGTGAGTTAATGTTTGTTGGGGAAAGAAAGTTGGAATTTTCAAACTTTCATAGGAAAGTTAGAATTTTGGAAAATGTGGACCTGTCACTTTAAGCTTGACGGTACCTCAATACTTTAAAGACTTTTCTGATGGAATTAATGGTAAATTTAATGAATGTGACTTGAGGTTACAACCTCATGCATGGATAAAAACATCCATTCAAAAGGCGATTTGACAAGGGCGACTGGGTGGCTCAGTCAGTTGAACATCTGACTTGGGCTCAGGTCATGATCTCATGGGTTTGTGAGTTCAAGCCCTGAGTGGGGCTCACTGCTGTCAGCATGAAGCCCACTTCGGATCCTGTCTCCCTCTCTTCTCTATCTCTCCCCTTCTGGCACTATCTCTCTCAAAAATAAACATTTAAAAAAAGTTTTAAAAAGGCAACTGACAGGGGCGCCTGGGTGGCTTAGTCGGTTAAGCGTCCGACTTTCGCTTAGGTCATGATCTCACGGTTCGTGGGTTCGAGCCCCGCGTCGGGCTCTGTGCTGACTGCCAGCTCAGGGCCTGGAGCCTGTTTCAGAGTCTGTGTCTCCCTCTCTCTCTGACCCTTCCCTGCTCACGCTGTCTCTCTCTCTTGCCTAGAAATAAATAAAACATTAAAAAAAAATTTTTTTAAAAGGCAACTGACATATGTATCTATGGTTTCAAGCTCCCTGTGGCAACTGATATTAAGAAAGTTTAGGGGCACTTGGGTGGCTCAGTTGGTTAAGCATCCAACTTCAGCTCAGGTCATGATCTCACAGTTTGTGGGTTCGAGCCCGTGTCAGGCTCTGTTGACAGCTCAGAACCTGGAGCCTGCTTCGGATTCTGTGTCCTGCCCTCTCTCTGCCCCTCCCCCACTCACATACACACTCTCTCTCAAAATAAATAAACATTAAAAAATTAAATAAAATGGATTAATCAGTGTTCTCACTCTTAATTTTTAATAAGGTAAAACAAACCGTCTTTGGATATTAAGTTTTTTTAAAAATTTTGTTTAACATTTATTCATTTTGGAGAGACAGAGAACATGAGTGGGGAGAGGCAGGGAGAGAGGGAGACACAAAATCCAAAGCAGGCTCCAGGCTCTGAGCTGTCAGCACAGAGCCTGACTTGGGGTTCGAACCCACGAACCATGAGATCATGACCTGAGGTAAAGTCAGATGCTTATCTGCTTAACCAACTGAGTCACCCAGGTGCCCCTATTCATTAAGTTCTAAAAGTGCAAATGGGAGGCGCCTGGGTGGCTCAGTCGGTTGGGCGTCTGACTTTGGCTCAGGTCATGAGCTCACAGTTTGTGGGTTTGAGCCCCACGTCAGGCTCTGTGCTGACAGCTCAGAGCCTGGAGCCCATTTCTGATTCTACATCTCCCTCTCTCTCTGACCCTCTTGCTTGTGCTCTCGCTCTCTCGCTCTCTCTCTCTCAGGAAAAAAAGTGCAAATGGGTCTTGAAGCCAAAACAATTGGGATTTAGTGACCTAGGAATATTTTCTAGAGAAAAAAATTTGTATAATAATTTTCAAGTTTTTCTTTTTGTAGTCTTAGTAACGCCCAGTTGAGTAGGTAACTGTTCCTCAGCAACACACACACCCTTCCCCTCCTCATGTGCACGCGTCCTTCTGTTCCATCTAGTGCATTCATGCCATTTAGGTATAGGTGTCTATTTTTTTTTTATTTTTTTAATTTTTTTAATTTTTTTTTAATTTCTAGGAGAGAGAGAGAGAGAGAGAGAGAGAGACAGCGTGAGCAGGGGAGGGTCAGAGAGAGAGAGAGTCACAGACTGAAACAGGCTCCAGGCTCTGAGCTGGCAGTCAGCACAGAGCCCGACGCGGGGCTCGAACCCACGAACCGCGAGATCATGACCTAAGCGAAAGTCGGACGCTTAACCGACTAAGCCACCCAGGAGCCCCTATAGGTGTCTATTTTGATATGTGTGTATGCTTGACAAATACACAACATTGTTTGTGTGGAATGGATCTTATTTAGATAGTAGATCTTTACTGAATAACTTGATCCCTCCGGTTTTTTATTGAAGTGCAACTGTACACAGCAAAATGCACAAACCATAAGTGTATAGTTTGATTAATTTATGTGTACTTCCATGTAGGTATACATAATTGGTATAGAGAGATATTATTGCTTTACATAAACTTCATTTTGCATCTTCTTTTCTTAATTCTGTGCCTTTGAGACCTATCGATCTTGCTCCTGTGTCATTTTTTTTCCTCATTATTTTGGTCTTAATGCACAAAATTCCATCATGGGGATATAGCACATTTTACTTACCCAATCGTGTAGTGATGGGCATTTAGGTTGCTTCAACTGTTAATATGAACAGCATTCTGAAGAATATATCATGGAGATCTGAGTGGGAAATAAGTTACGGCGTTACAATTACTGCACATAATTTAAACAAGCATAGCCCAATTGCCCCACCGACCATCTAGAATAAAGTACATTCCAACCAGGCTCTCCAGAAGGGTGTCCATCTCCCCCATCCCACCCCCACCATTGCAAGGGTCTGACTTTTGCTGATTTTTGAACTTTTGAACTGCAGTTTTCAATTATGATGTCTTTGGTTCCAGCAAATTTTCCCACTGTGTTCTGGGAAGATTAAATAGTTTATTTGACCCTTTTCTATCTCAACATAACATGAGTTCTTTCATACATGATCTTCCATTTACTTGTACATTTCACACGTCTTTAATTTGGCATTTGAAACTATACTGTATATCATGACTCAACTTCAGTTTTCTTCATACAGCAAGCCTTTTTCTTTACCCAACACTGCCCTTTCACAGTGATTTTGGAGGCTATGGTTCGTTCCCCAAGTTCTCATATAGAACAGGCTTTCTGTTCCTTGGCTTCTGTTGGGTTGCATTTGTCTACTTGCCTGTTTCTACATGAGTACTATAGGAAATTTTTTTTACCCTATTTCATCTGGATAATTAAATCTTGCATATTTATCATTTTTAAGCAAAATACATAATCTACTTTGTGGGTCTACCTGTATGTTTTAGGTGGCCCTCAAAATCCTGTTGGGTTTCTTTTCAGAAAGCAGTCATATCCTCATCATAAGAAAAACATTAGATAAACTCCAATGAGGTTCTACAAAACACCTGCTCAGTGCTTCTTAGAACTGTCCATATCATAAAACTAGTTTAAGAAACTGTCAGACCCAACGGGAGTCTATGGAGACATGAAGACCCAATGTAGTATGGTACCTTAGATAGCATCTGAGAACACAAAACAGGTAGTAGGTAAAAACTTATAGACAAAAACATGGAAAATATGAATAAAGCATGGACTTTAGTTACTAAATAATGTAACAATGTCAATTAATTCATTGTGATAAATATACTGTACTAATATGTTGATAATAGAGGAGGGCTCCTAGCTGGCTCAGTCAGGAGAGCATGTGACTCTTTTTTTTCTGAGAGCTGGGAAGAGGGGCTGAGAGGGAGATGGGATTGAGAATTTTAAGCAGGCTCCACACTCCATGCCCCACTTCCCCACGGCAGGGGCATGGAGCCCACTGTGGGGCTCAAGCTCATGACCCTAGGATCATGACTTGAGCTTCAGTCAAGGGTACAACACTCAACCAACTGAACCACCCAGGCACCCGTGAGTATGTGACTTTAAGTGTATTCATTTTGAGACAGAGAAAGCTTGAGTGGGGGATGGGCAGAGAGAGTGGGGGGAAAGAGAGAATCCCAAGCAGGCTCTGCACTGTCTGTGCATAGCCTGATACGGGGCTCGAACTCACCAAATGTGAGATCATGATCTGAGTCGAAAGGTGGACGCTTAACTGACTGAGCCACCCAGGTGCCCCAAGCATGTGACTCTTAATCTCTGGGACTGGAGGGTGAGGGAAGGACTCTGAGAAGGTAGTACTCAAGCTGGAACCTGTCATAAAGGAGCAAGCTAGTCCCTCACCATATGAAAAGCATCACAGGAAGAGAGGAACCAGGACCAAGCTCTGGAGTAGAGGGAAGTTGGCTGGTTGTGGGACAGGAAGTTCATTCATGTGGTAGCTGCCTCCAGCACTTATTCCAAGGTGTAAGGCTGAGGAGGTCATTACATGTGATGAGGTGAAAAATAGTGGTGAGGCCCTGATCGACATGGTAAGATTCAAGAGGACTTGTGAATGATAGTAAAGTTAACCTTCTCCTTTCAGGGCACCTGGCTGTCTCAGTCATGAGATTATGTGACTCTTGACCTCAGGTTTGTAAATCGATCCCATGTTGGGTGTAGAGATAACTTAAAAAAAATTAGAACTCTAGGGACACATAGTGGCTCAGTCAGTTAAGCTTCCGACTTTGGCTCAAGTCATAATCTCAGTTTTTGAGTCTGAGCCCAGCATCTGGCTTGCTGTTGTCAGCACAGAGCCTGCTTTAGATCTCTCTCCCTCTCGATCCCTCCCCTACACAGGTACACACACGTACTCTCTCTCTCTCTCAAAAATAAACATTTAAAAAATATAGAAATTTTGAAATCAAATAAATAAATAAATAAATAAAATATTAACCTTCTTTCAGTGAAGTACAATAGACCAGAAGGTAGGCTGATCTGCAATTGAAGATTAAACTTTCAGAAGGGACAAACATTCAAGAATCAAACAAAAAAAGCATCCCTATGGTCTGAGAATACAAATGAATCCTTTATTTTGCTTAAGGAATATAATGGGTAGCCATAGTTAAGAGTTTTAACTGGATTTTTTTTTTTGCATAAATATAGAGTTTGGCTTTTCTTTCTTTTTTTTTATTTTTTTTTTAAATGTTTTTATTTATTTCTAGGAGAGAGAGAGAGAGACAGCGTGAGCAGGGGGGGTTCAGAGAGAGAGAGAGAATCACAGACTCCGAAACAGGCTCCAGGCTCTGAGCTGGCAGTCAGCACAGAGCCCGACACGGGGCTCGAACCCACGAACGCGAGATCATGACCCAAGCGAAAGTCGGACGCTTAACCGACTAAGCCACCCAGGCGCCCCAGAGTTTGGCTTTTCTGAGAGTGACCTCAGAAACATTGCAAAACTGAACCAAATGATGCTCCCCATAGTTTTTAAATGTTTGACAAAACATTTTGGGAAGTGATCCTCTTTATCTGCTATTGAGGGCAATGGATTTTACCCAGAAATTTAACCAGAAAAACTGAAAGGGACTTAATAGTACTTTATTTGCTCCTCATTTCTATGGGTTCAAGTATTCATGATTGTAATGACCTATTACTGCCTTTTCTTGACTCATTGTTCTTAATCAATATGAACAGAACACATCGATTTTTCACGTTTTTTGAAAATAGAAGACCTTGACTTCCCAGTCACGGCATTCAGATCAAATAGAGAAGTTCAAGAATCACCTTTGTGGATTTAAGGACTTTATAATTGTGTCCGTGTTCTATCCTACTGGGTTCTGGTGGATTACAAAGGACAAGAGGAAATCAAACACTAGTTTGAGCCTGAAGCTTGAAATTTATAAGTTGACCTATTAACTGTCTTGTCTTTCCTAATCTTTCCACAGAGACCACACCCGTGAATCACAGACGCAGCCGCACCAAATTCACACATGATCAGTTGAAAATCCTCATCAAAGCATTTGACAAAAATCCTTACCCAGGTTATACTACCAAACAAAAACTTGCTTTAGAAGTCAACACTGAAGAATCTAGAATCCAGGTTAAGTTACAAATTCTGTATCTCCAAGACTAATAAAAGTAGAAAAGGAGGAAGGGAACTGTCACTTAAGCACGTTATGTGCCAGTGTGTTAAGGGCTTTGTGCAAAGTATCTTGACACCCAGAATGAACTCACAAGGATGTTGTTCCAATGCTTGAGCATAAAAATTGCAGCATCTATTTATTAACTTAAAAAGATTACTATAGTCATGTTGGGACCAGATCGTGAAGATGCTAAATGCCAAGGCTTGACCTAAGGCTTAGTCAGATGTGACACGTATCCATAAGAATACTGAGCTTAGACCTAATAAGAATCACACCCTTTGAAGATGGGAAGTGATGGGGTTGAGGTGACATAGACATACTTAGTTCTCTTATTTTCTTTTCCTCATTTAAGATTTGGTTTCAGAATCGAAGAGCTAGGCACCAGAAAAAATCAGAACCTGATGAGGACGTAGAATCAAGCCAAGAGCAAGATCACCTTGAAGAGGAGGTTCAAAGTAAATAGTCTGCTCCAGTCCTTCCATAAAAGAGCTTCTTGGGTACCCAAGGGCCTCTCTATCTGGAGCTAACTACTACTCTGAGTGGGAGAAGAATGTTCTTTCTCACAGGGCTTTCTGTTCAGGGTCTTCTGGTAGCAAGGGGTCCAATATGGTCCCTGGAAAATCTTCCCTGCATGGTTCATGGACCTTTTGAGACTTTCTTCTGCTTACCTTCTTTCCACTGGAAAGAACCAGCAACCTGGCTGTATACTGTGTCTCTTCTAGTACTTTCTGCCTGGAATAAGCCAGGACAAGACCCTCTTAAGGCAAGGCAACAAATTAGATGGAGACAGTGTGGGACATGTTTGGGTTCCTTGTTTGGGAATATGTAAACTGACCTATGAAACGTTCCTTGACCCTCTGTCTATCCTAGGTAGAGAAAATAGACGGGGTCGTACCAACTATACGTCCTCGCAATTACACACCCTCATTGAGGCATTTTCAAACAACCCTTATCCTGGCTTGGATTACAGAGAACGACTTGCTAAAGAGACTGGCATTCCAGAGTCAAGAATCCAAGTAAGTGATAAAGAATTTGCTCCATCTCCTACAGAGGGAGATGTAGGAGAGGGGGAGCCGTGCAGACATGTGAGGCATATCGCTACTCCAGGGCCTTTCACGAGTTATTCTCTCCATCTGGTAAGTTCTAAAGGTTTATATTTAGAGTGGGGGTGGGGAGAGAGAGAGAGGGAGAGAGAGAGAGAGAGAGAGAATCCCAAGTAGGCTCCCAGCAGACAGCACAGACCCTGACACGGGCCTTCATCCCACAAACCATGAGATCATGACCTGAGCTGAAACCAAGGGTCAGATGCTTCACTACCTGAGCCACCCGGTGCCCCTCCATCTGGTTCCCGCAGGGCCAGCTATCTTCCCCCCTTCAGGTCTTTCTTGCTGTAACCAGTGTTTTATATTTTGTTTTCTTTCTTTATTTTCAATGCACTTATTACTAATATTAAAAATATTTTAAAAAATTCTTTCTCGGGGCACTTGGGTGGCTTAGTCGGTTAAGCACGTGACTTTCGCTTAGGTCATGATCTCGCGGTTCGTGGGTTCGAGCCCCGCGTCGGGCTCTGTGCTGACTGCCAGCCCAGAGCCTGGAGCCTGTTTCAGAGTCTGTGACTCCCTCTCTCTCTGACCCTCCCCTGCTCACGCGGTCTCTCTCTCTCTCTCCTAGAAATAAATAAAACATTTAAAAATAAAGTCTTTCTCAGTTCTACAATGGCCCTCTTCCCTCCTTGCCCACATTCCTGATGCATTTCCTCAGGACTAGTTCAAAGCGGAACCTGTCCCCTGTTATTTTCACAGAAAGCAACGCGTGCCTGGGATGTAGGGGAGGAAGGTTGGAAGGAAGCAACAGAAGGTACTGTCCGCGTTCCGCCCCAAGGCTGGCTCGGTGGAGAGTCACAGACTTCAGTAAAAAAAGTCTGGTGGCCTCACAGTGACGTAGTCTAAAGTGGGCTGGAGAGGAGATAGCGTCGCCCACCAGTGGCTTTAGAGGACATCATCTCAAAGTCTTATGTCAAACCCAGAAGTACGGACGCCAGGATAAGAATGGGGAGGACCAGGGAGGTAGACCTGTGGAAAGTTCCACAATCCTCCCATGTTGGGGAGCTTGTGGAAAGTCACCAGACATCCAGATGGAATGGAATTCTGTCAGAGCGGTGTGTTGTGTGTATGTATTTAAGCCAGTGCTCCTTGAGTGCCTGGGTGGGTCAGTCAGTTAAGCATCTGAGTCTTGATTTCAGCGTGGGTCACGAGACTGAGCCCACGTTGGCTCTGTGCTGACAGCGAGGAACCTGCTTGGCCTCTCTCTCTCTCTGCCCCTCCCCACTTGTTCTCTTTCTCTCTCAAAGTAAGCATTAAAAAATAAACCAGTGCTCTTTCCAGTAATCTGATAATTTTGATAGCGTGATTAAATGTCACGAATTTACCTCCTAGACAAATACAAGCGGGCGGATGTGTTTGGTGTAAACAGGGAAGCAGATGTGTCTGGTCAGAAATAGTTTCACAGAGGAAATCTTGATCTGGGGCTTGCAAAGCAGAGAGAAATTCCCTGGAGGAAGACCAGAACAGAGGAGGTTAGTAAGGGCAGCCGTGGTGGCAGACTGGATTCCTAGAAAGAAGCAGTCCTGTGGCTTCCAGAAGATTGTGAATTTGTCTATGGGCTGGTGAACTAGGGAGACATAAATATATTTAAGGAGGCCTCAAGTCTAGACCAAAATGTTTATGGGCAGTTGATTAAGACGTTGTATTTGGGGTTTGTGTGCACCATCTTCCATTAGCCTGTGGGCTGTGAGATGGGGCCCATCTCTGATTAATTCCTGTATGCTGAGCAATGCTCGGAAGTTGGTCTTGAAGTTGGGGCGCCTGGGTGGCTCAGTCGGTTGAGCGTCTGACTTTGGCTCAGGTCATGATCTAACGGTGCGTGGGTTCGAGCCCCGTGTTGGGCTCTGTGCTGACAGCTAGTTCAGAGCCTGGAGCCTTCTTCGGATTCTATGTCTCCCTCTCTCTCAGAAATAAGTAAAAAAGTTAAAAATTTTTTTAAAAAAGATCTTGAAGTTGATTAGACACTTGGAAATGCTTGCTAGAAGAGCATTTTTTAAAAAATATTTTTATTTATTTCTAGGAGACAGAGAGAGACACCGCGTGAGCAGGGGAGGGTCAGAGAGAGAGGGAGTCACAGACTCTGAAACAGGCTCCAGGCTCTGAGCTGGCAGTCAGCACAGAGCCCGACTCGGGGCTCGAACCCACGAACCGCGAGATCATGACCTAAGCGAAAGTCGGACGCTTAACCGACTAAGCCACCCAGGCGCCCCTAGAAGAGCATTTTATCCTTTGGTGGCAGAGACATGCTCAAGAAATTAAGACAGAGGATAAAGCATGCTACAGTTACAGTTTGAAATAGCTTCTCTTCCTCCAGTGAAGAATGGACTCCACTGTGGAGACAGGAAAAGTCAGGGAGACATGGAAATGAGTGCTGTGTAAGAAACAATACGGACCTAGACTGATGGCACATGCAGAGGTGGGGTGTGGGGGACAGAGGTGGGGTGGAGAGGGGAGATGACACAGCCAGAAAGACGTGGCGGGTCTAGCTTGGATGGATGGCTGGTCCTGGGGTTATGCTGGATTGGGTTCTAGAAGAATAGAAGGAATTCCCCAGGGTTAGAGAGGAGACACCTAGAACGGACATCTAAGAGGCAGCTTCCACAGGATTCCAAAGCTCTGGGGAGGAGAGGATGCGCCTCAGTGAAGGCTGGAAGATTTTATGGAGAAGACGCATATACATGGAAGACTGAGTTTTGAGTAAATGGTTGGGTATGATTCTGAAAGAGCATGAGTTGGGAGAGAAGGAAACAAGTCAGTGGTGAAATATGCAGCTAATCCCATCTGAATGCAGCCATTCCAATATTCCGTGGGCTAGTTTTCTCCTCAGAATTCAAAGCTGAATAGACTTTTCCTTAAAATCAAGATACTTGGGGCACCTGGGTGCCTTAGTCAGCTAAATGTCTGACTCTTGATTTTGGCTCAGGTTATGATCTTGCAGTTTGTGAGATTAAGCCCTGAGTAGGGCTCTGCACCGACAGAGGGGCACCTGCTTAGGATTCTCTCTCTCTCTCTCTCTCTCAAAATAAACATTTAAAAAAAAATCTTAGCAGGTCCAGAAATAGTGAGAAATCTCTGAATGACTATCAACAGGGCACTGATTCTCACAAGCACCACTAGCATGGCGGATGGAGTAAGGAAGGGCTTTATGATTCAGGTATAGAAACCATATGCAGGGTTGCTTATGTGCCGTTCCTCCAAACCAATCATTCACTTGCAGAGTGGTCTATACCTTCAGGAAGGGCACAAAAGTTTTGGTGGTATTATGTGACTTTTCCAAAGCCTGGTTTTTGGACTCAAGATCTGTGCCTATTCTATTTGCAACCTCTGAAAACCAAAAGTAGTAGTTGTGGAATGTGAGTGTGTGTGTGTGTGTGTGTGTGTGTGTAGTATACAAATACGTGTGTATTTTTCTAAAGCTATGTTATTATAAATAATGTATATGTATATTTGATATATATATACATATACATATATATATATATATATATATAATCTGCATGTATGTGTGTAACTTATGGGCAGAGGAAAGGGGCAGCAATTAATTATGTCTTGTGGGATGAAAAATATCTCCCTAGACAGATAGTATACTACCCTGGGTCATGGAAGAAAAATAGGCATTTTGAAGAGTAATTTAAAAAAGATGGGAAAAGAATTCCAGGCAGAGGAAAGAGTGTCAGTATAGGCATGACACTTGAGAGAAAAACTACCACTGGTAAGGAGGGGATTGTAGGGACTATATGAAACCTATCATGAAGGTACTAGGTGTGAGGTTTTGAATTTGGGGCTTTATCTTCAGACTCCATAGACTTTCCTAGCTGTCCTGTGGAAGGCTGGTGATTTTGGAATTAGGCCTAGGACAAACTGTCTCTCCCTTTTGCCTTATGAAAAAAGCAATGGTGAAGCTTGTATGACATTTGTTTTAATTACTTCTTGATGTTTTGCCCACTTAGATTTGGTTTCAAAATCGGAGATCCAGACTCCGTGTCCAGAGAAAAAGAGAACCTGATGATGAAGATTTAGGACAGAGACAAGACCAGGAATAGGATCTCTGAGATGAGAGAGTTCAAGGTAATTGCCCTGTTGTTCTCATTTTCGCTCACAAGCAGAGCCTCCAGCGTGCCCTGTCCTTCTACATGGTTGAGTCAACTCCAACAATCTCTTGGGAGGTAGAAGATACTCCTACTCAAGTGGCGTATCCGGCTTCATGAGTAAGAGGATTAGTTATAGTTCCTCAAGACTCTTCCCAAGTTGGTGGTCCCCCAAAGGAATTCCACTGGCTACTTTTCTACCTGGAGTCCAGAAACCCCATTAGAATGTGAATTTTGGGGGGCACCTAGGTGGCTCAGTCAGTTGAGCATCCAACTCTTGATCTTAGCTCAGTTCTTAATCTTGGGGTCATGAGTTCAAGCCCTACATTGGGTTCTATACTGGGCATGAAGACCACTTGAACAAAATTCACATTCTTTTTTTTTTTTTTTTTTTCCCTAATCCATGTCTTCCCAGTGCCTGGTACATAGTAACAATAAACTTTTGTGGAAGGTATGGTTGAGTTAATGGAGGGATCAATTCTCAGGTGCATTCGCCAAGGGCCAGCTGGTGTGTGGCTTTCCCAGGAGGTAGTAAGTTCCACATTGGACTAGAAAGGCGGGAAGATTACTTCCATGTTTGAATGTACTAACTGGCTTCTTTCATTTTTTCTTTCCTCCTTAGGCATAGAAGCTCCAGCATGGTCCTGATCTCTGTCAGCTGTCTTCTTTCTCCAGAGCCAGAGCAAGATGCACAGATAGAGACATTCAGTGTACTTGATATCTTCAGCCTGGGCTCTACATTTCTCTTGTCTTGGAAACATGTCTGCCTAACCATACCTTCAGCTTAGCCAGAGCTGAGCCTGCTGGGGACGCTAAGAGGATTTCGGAGGCAGAGACAGATACACGGCGCCACACTCTACCAACTGATCCTGGATCCAGAGTTCAGCGGATCTTGAGCACAACAAAAGAAACTTATTAGTGTCATTTTTCCAACCATCATAGTAATTGTGATTTTAAAGAAAGGTTTTATTTCTAAGTAATCTCTACACCCAGCGTGCGGCTTGAACTCACAATCCCTAGATCAAGAGTTCACGCTCCACCAACTGGACTGACTGGATGTCCCAGCTGTGCTTTTTTTAATAAGAGATATTTACTTTGTCTTCATCCCCATTTCCGGCACAGAGCTTCTAAAATCTTCGGAGTTTCCGGTGATGAGACAAATGAGAGGATTGGCATTTTCAGTCCTTCCTCCTGGACCTCCAGGAAGGAGAAAGGGGCTGAAGTTGGAGTCAACTGCCAATGGCCAATGATTTATTTATTTTTTAAATTGCATTATAGTTAACATACCGTGTTACTGGTTTTAGGTGTACAGTATAGCGATTCACCAGTTCTGTACAGTATTCAGTGCTCGTCATGAGAAGTTGCTCTTGATCCCCATCACCTACTTCACCCCACACCATCTCCCTTCTGATAATAAATAGTTTGTTCCCTATAGTTAAGAGTCTGTTGTTTCTTGGTTTGTCCTTTTTCCTTTTTTCATTTGTTTTTGCTTCTTAGATTCTACATACGAATGAAATCATATGGTATTTGTCTTTCTCTGACTGATTTATTATTAACATTTTTTTTAAATGTTTATTTTTGAGAAAGAGAGACAGAGTGCAAGCGGGGGAGGGGCCGAGAGAGGGAGACACAGAATCTGAAGCAGCTCCAGGCTCTGAGCTGTCAGCACAGAGCCCATGCGGGCCTCAAACTCACAAACCGTGAGATCATGACCTGAGCTGAAGTTGAACGCTTAACCAATTGAGCCACCCGGGTACCCTACTTTTAATTTTTTAAATGTTTATTTGAAAAAGAGAGAGACAGAGCGAGGGTGAGGGAGGGGCAGAGAGAGAAGGAGACATAGAATCCAAAGCAGTCTCCAGGCTCTGGGCTGTCAGCACAGAGCCTGATGCAGGGCTTGAACCCACAAATTGTTGAGATCATGGCTGAGCCGAAGTTGCCTGAGCTTAATCGACTGAGCCACCCAGGTACCCTCAATGTGATTTTTTAAAAACGTATTTTAGGAGTCTCTACCTCCCAGCATGGGGCTGGAACTCAACCACCCCAAGATCAAGAGATGTATGCATGCTCATGGGGCGTCTGGGTGGCTCAGTTGTTTAACTGGTGGCCTTCAGCTCAGGTTCATGAGTTCAAGCCCCATGTTGGGCTCTCTGCTGTCTGCGCAGAGCCCGCTTCAGATCATCTGTCCCCATCTCTCTCTGCCCCTCTCCTGCTTGCTTGCTCTCTCTGACTCTCATACAAACAAAAAACAAGTAAATAGTATTCCATTGCATGTATACACCACATTCAGTTTAATCATTGATGCATGGATGGGCACTTAGGTTGCTTCTATCTTTGGGCTATTGGGAATGATAAGGCTACAAACATGGGTTTACAAATACCTATTTAAATCTCCATTTGGGGGGCACCTGGGTGGATCAGTCGGTTAAGAGTCATGACTTTGGCTCATGATCTCATGATTTGTAGGTTTGAGCTCTGCTTGGGCCCTGTGCTGACAGCTGGAGCCTTCTTCAGATTCTGTGTCTCCCTCTCTTTCTGACCCTTCCCTGCTCATGCTCTCTCCCACTCTCTCTCTCTCAAAAATAAACATTTTTTAAAAAAATATGGGGTTACCTTCACCTATAGGTCATCCTACAATGGTCACCCAGAAATTCATACAAAGGGTCCTATAATTGGAAGTCTGTAGCTGAGGGCAGTGAGGTCTTTTTTTTTTTTTTTTTAATGTTTTATTTATTTCTAGGAGAGAGAGAGAGAGACAGCATGAGCAGGGGAGGGTCAGAGAGAGAGGGAGCCACAGACTGAAACAGGCTCCAGGCTCTGAGCTGGCAGTCAGCACAGAGCCCGACGCGGGGCTCGAACCCACGAACCGCGAGATCATGACCTAAGCGAAAGTCGGACGCTTCACCGACTAAGCCACCCAGGCGCCCCCGGTGAGGTCTTAATATACGGAGTTTCTTCTGAAGATTGATCTGGCTTCCTTGTTCAGAAAATATTTATTAAATACCTTTTATATGCCGGAACATTTTTTAATTTTTTACTTTTAAGTAACGTCTACACCCAACACGGGGCTCGAACTTACAACCCTGAGATCAAGAGTCTCATGCTCTTCTAACCGAAACAGCTAGGTGCCCCAAGAATGTTTTTAAACATTGGAGATGTAGTCAGAAACCAAATGTGCCTAAAGGACCAGAAAGTATTTGTTGGGAATAAGAATGTGTAAGGGGCGCCTGGTGGCTCAGTCAGTTAAGTGTCAGACTCTTGATTTCATCTCGGGTCATGATCTGACAGTTGTGGGACTGAGCCCCTAGTCAGGCTCCGTGCTCCCCTCCCCTGCTTACACATGTGCACTCACACTCTCAAATATACAAAAATTACATTAAATTTAAAAAATTTAGCATGTCTAAGCTTACGTGTATGGTGTGGACCCAGGTGACAGGAGACTGGATTGTCAGGCTGGTGTCCCTGGCTTTTATCTCTCGTATTTGCCGTGTTGGCATGAACTGGAGGAATTGTGGGTTTGAGGTGGAGAGAGAAACTATTGCTCCATATGTGGTTGACAGCGAGAGAAAACAGAAGTAAGAGAAAACCGTGATGTCTAGAACTGAGATTCTGGTCTTTAATGTTCTCACGGTTAGTGGAAGCCGGATGTGGGAACCAGTAGGCAAAACGTATTGTTAGGAGTGTGGCAAGTTGTATGGGGCAAAATAAGAGTATTTACCCACCAAAGACAGTGTGTCAGAAAGTTTCATTTCACAGCATACTGGTCAGTGGGAAGATTCACAAGTGATGAATTCCAATGTCTATTTTGGGACGTGACAGGGAGATGTGGACCAAATAGAGAACATCAAGAAAATAAGGAGAGACTTCTAAATCAAGCGAACTTCATCTATGATAAAACACCTACTATGAAGCTTCTGCAAACATATTTCATCTTCACTCAAACATTATTCTATCAGGACAAAACCTAGGAGCATGTTTTAAGTGGAAAGACTTTCAAAAGTAACTCAGATTTATTTAATTGTAGAAGAAATTTATGAACTTAATGGAGATGAAAAAAATCATTCAGTTACAATTAATTTCCAAAGAAGCATGAGAAAATTAATACAGGTAAGAATACTTATGAAGGTAATGAATGTAGCCATGTTCAGTCTAAAGTCACACCTGACTGGATACCAGAAAGTACCTTCTGGAGAGAAACCCATGGATGAAACGGGTGTGGGAAAGCCTTTACTGACCCATCACTCATTCCTTATAAAACACCTAAGATCTCACACAGGTGAAAGACCCATGAATATAAATTCTGCCAGAAAGCCTTTAGGAGAAAAACACACCTCAGTATACACCAGGGAATTCACACTGGTGAGAAACCCTCTAAATATAACGAATGTGGGAAGCTATCCAGAGGGTGGAATTTTGTAAAGTATGCCAACAGCCTAGGACATCATCATTTCGGGTAATCTTCAAATTATCAAAATACTTGGGCAAGGAGAATTCTGAAACTTTTCCTTTTTTCTAAATATGCATCAGCTAGGACTCCTTGTGTTGGAAGTGACAGAATATTAAAACCAGCTTCAGCAATAAAAGAAAGGTCACTGATACATGTCACTGAAAAGCCCAGGATACCTCCTGGAAGAGAAGAGAAAGAGATAAGCTTTGATGACTGAATCATTACTCAGAAAACCAAAGAGAGACAAACGAACAAAAAAATAGAAACTCAGTACGATGATCGGATGCACAAGAAATATCCTTCTTAAAATCACTGACATTGCAAATGGCCTACTGGAGCTGATTAAAATAAAAATGGGAAAGTATTCTATTCAGGATAATGTTTTTATACAATACTTAGAAGTGAGTGCAACCTCAAATAAACAGTGTCTTTATTACTGGACAGAAGCAAAACTGACAGTAAATATATCAGCATCCTGGGTGCAAATAATGTTAGAAATAAGTAAACG